AAAAAAAAAAGAAATGAAAAGCAAAAATGAGATGGGATTATATTAGTATAGCAAAAGAAACAGAGTGAAGAGACCAGATAGAATGGGCAAAAATTTCTGCTATCATTAGTGGATTGCAAAATCGTTTCTGCAATGTTTTATGTATTATGATAAATACTGGCAAAGGTGATTAAGATAAATATTCATCAGTATCACCACAATATAAGACTGAAGGCATGGCTCAACTGTAGAGCACCTGGTTTGCAAGTGCAAAGCCCAGAGTTCAAACCCCAGTGCCACCAAAAAAACAACAAAAAAAACCCAAGAGAAAATATGTGAAAAAGAAATGTATTATGTGAAATTATAACGTAAGAGCATATACTTGTATACAGAGGATGTGCCTTTAAATAAAGAGTATGAGAGTTCAAAGCAAGAAAAGTTCAATGTGTTACAGGGAGGGCCACTTTGACAAGGGTAAAAGAAAACACTGATGTGAAAATCTAGAAAACAAAATAGGAAGATATTTCAGGTAGCAAACTACATAGATAAGACACAACATTTCCTCCTTGATATTATGAGGACAGGTGGTTTCTAGCTCTGCCTTAGACAATAAAGGGCCAGAAATTCAATAAGACAACCTAACATCATTTTTACTATAATACTGATCGATTTCACTTTCATATTAGCTCCTGAAACACACAGAAAAATCTTAGAGAAAAACGAATCCCTCAAGATCAGCACTCTGCAGCTTATACCAAAAGTCAAAACACTCTTATGCTGCCAAGGCTCAGTGTCTCCTAAGTTTGTGATTATTTTTAACATAATCAAACTCAAACCACATTAGTTATAAACTAAAGTATAATTATAGATATTAGAGTTCAAAACAAGAAAATTACATATGCTTTAACTTTCCACAAAATTAAAAAAAGCCTACTAAGTTCATGACAGTTTTCCACAACTTTTTCAACCCCACTACCTACCATCTAGTTTCACAGCAATCAAAACAAACAGTAACTCATGTCTTTTTCCTCTGAGAACTGCCTCAAGAAAATTATTCAGGTCTAACCAAGATGAATTTGTATTAATTTTCCTTAGCAAATCATTCAGCAGCAAGTATTTTACCTAAAAAGGCAATTTTCTAAGATTTTATGTTCTTTCCATACAAAGTCAAAAGCAATCTTGTATCACTTCCTCTCTTGAAATAAAGTAACAATAAGACTAAAAGTTTTCCCCCTGTGGTGCTGGCAATCCAACCCAGAGCCTTGTGCAAAGATAAGCGGTCTATTACTAAACTACATCCCCAGCCTCCGGATATATTAATTTCATAATTTGCCACATTTGTTTGTTTGCTGTTACTCTGAATTTTAAAAGTTTGAGGGAATACATCAGTGGTATAAAGGTTAAGGAACAAAAGCCTTTCATGTGTTCATAAGCTGTATAATCAACACTGGGAAAGACATCTAGACGATCCTTCACATCCAATTTTCCACTTTACTAGTGGTCAATTGCTCCCAAATAAAGTTTCTGGTTTTTTATTTCATAATGCTAGGAAATGAAGCAAGGCCCTCACAAATGCTAAGCACACACTACCACAGAGCTACACCCCAGCCCCCAAAATAAGTATCATTTAAAGAACAGTCAACAATTTATCCATATTGAGTTTTTAAAAAAAAACTTAGTATTATTTTCCAAGGGTCACAAAGACTAGCAACAGATGAAAACAAACTGCTCTTTCCAAACCTGGGCCGGGGGACCAAGTAAGTGTGCCATGTTTGTCACATTCACTCATACAATAATGCATATGCATACACACACACGTGCATGTACACACAAACCAACAGGTGGAATCATGAAGCTGCAATTCTTTATATTAGGTAGAGATTTTAAGTTATTTCCACACCCTAATTTTCTCATTCAAATTTCCAAAACAGAAACTTACCAATGTCACTGGCGAATTCATAGACGTGAGGCTTCTGTAGCAGCCCTAACTGGCACATACAGGTTAGGGCATTAAGAGCTTTCACGATTACAAATTCCTCAGCATCACTAAGACCCTGCTGCAGCAGGGGCTTGAGAATCGAGGAACTTTGCCAGCCAACATAGGCAGCAACACCTGAAAATGAAAAGCAATGTCATTATTCAATAACTGAAAATATACTTTAAGTAAAACGTTAAAACAAAACAAAGTCAAACATATGATCAAAAACCCAGGAAAGAACAATGCATTTCCTACCCAGAAAAATAAATGAAAAAGACCCACACCAAAGCAAATCATCAAGAAAGGAAAAACAAAGATCCTAAGGACTTACAAAAAGGAAAACATAGGTCTCCTAAAAAGGAAGAAGAGTCAGACTGGGGTCACATGATCTTCAACAATGGAGGCTAGAAAACAACAGAGCAAGACTTTCAACATTGGCAAAAGAAATTCTACACCCAATCTGTCAATGACATAAGAAAACAAAAGTAAGTCATTTCAAGACATGCAAAGGCTGTACAAGTTTACCTCCTAAGCAAACCTTTCTAAGAGAGTTTCCTGAGAATGA